ATATATATATATATATATATTTAGAACGAGAGACAGAGGTAGCAGAGACAGAGACAGAAACAAAATAACACAGGCAGAGAAAAGGCAACGGAGACAGAGACACAAATAAACAAACAAATAAACAAACAAATAGACAAACAAAGAGACAAACAAAGGGACAAAGGAGGAGGTAAACAGAGACAGAGGAGGAGACAGTTTATAGAGGTGAAGCACCAGAGACAGACAGAAAGAAAAAAAAGCAAAAGAAGAAGAAGTAGAGACAGACAAAACGACAAAAGTAATTGAACAGACTCAAAGACAAACAAAACAAGAGACAGAATAAACAACAAAGACAGTGAGAGAGACAGACAAAGCAGCAAAGATGAAGAGAAATAAAACAAAGACAGACAGACAGACAGAAATTGTCAAACATAGAGATAAAAACAACAGAGAGACAATAGATACAACAAAGGAAGAGAGGACAGAGACAAATGAAGAACAACAAAAGAGACAGAGACAAAGAGGAGCAGTGAAGGCAGCAAAAACAGCAGAAAGGCTGACAAAAGCAACTGCTTCCAGCCGCTGCAGAACCCGGTCTTACAGTTTAGGGTTTAGGGTTTAGGGTTCAGGGATTAGGGTTTAGGTTTTGAGGTTTAGGAGTTAGGGTTTAGGGCTTAGGGTTTAAGGTTTAGGGTTTAGGGTTAAGGGTTAAGGCAAAGGGTTTGTGTTTGGGGTTTAGGGTTTAGAGTTTAGGGGCAGGGTTTAGGGTTTAGCGATAGGGTTTGGGGTGTATAAGGAATTAAAGATTAGGGTCTGGTGTGTGCCCCCTCCGTTTGCAGTGCTAGTAATGTGTTGAGCTAGCTAGCTAGCTGCAGCTAGCTAGCAACTAGCTAGCATCTAGCTAGCTCAACACACTACTATCACCCCAGGGAGCTAGCAGCTAGCTAGCAGATAGTTAGCAGGTAGCTAACAGGTAGCTGGAAGGAGCTAGCAGCTAGCTGGCAGCTAGCTGGCAGCTAGCTAGCAACTAGCTAGCAGGAGCTAGCTAGCTTTATATAGCATCAGCAAGCTCCTGGTGCTGTTATACATGCAAGTAGAAGCGAAGAAATGTCTTTAATACCCCACATTCTTTAATTTAGTTCTGCTGCTGCGCTGTCTCGATATGCTTCGGCTGTACGTACACCGGAAGCAGCGCAGCAGGGGTTAAGGGTTAGGGGGGAGTCGAAAGGAAGCTTATAAAGCCTTTAGAATGAGTTGCAATGCATATTAAATATATTATTTTAATTTGTTTATTATATTAAATTGAATATTTGCTGCAATCGACTTCGTTCTCTGCTGCAGCCTCGAGGCCCCCCCAGCAGCAGCAGCAGTAGCAGCTGCAGCAGCAGTAGCAGCAACAGCATCGAAGACCAATGGTCTCCTAGAGGTAACTGTGTGTTTGCTGCTGCTGTATAAAGGTTTAATTTGTAATTTATTTTGTTTATTTCTTCTGAAAAAGAAATTTAAAATATAAATAAATACTCAAACTGTGCATACACTCCACAAGCCGTCGATACCTTCGCCGTCAGTGCAGCAGCGAGTTGCTGCTGTTCCCACGTCGCGCTCAGCAGCAGCAGCAACAGCAGCAGCAGCAACAGCAGCAGCAACAGCAAGAGCAACAGCAGCAGCAGGAATAGCAGCAACAATAGCAGCAATAACAGCAGCAGAAAGAGGCGGGTTTTATGTTTGTTTATAATTTGTTATTGTGTGTATACTTTTTTTTTTGCTGGGGTTGAGGCGTCTGTCTCACCAAGGAGATATATATATATATATATGCAGCAGATCTCCTTCTGTTACTCATTACTCTGTTGTTTCTTGTGTACTGTTTGCTGCTGCAATTTAAAGCCGTTTCAGAGCCTTTTTCTTCGGAGTGTATATTATTGATATATTTTTGGATTGCTGCATTTAACAGCCTTCTTCACCAGGTTCAGCAGCAGCACCTTTTGCTGCTGCTGCTGCTGCTGCTGCTGCTTGTGTTGCTGCTGTTATAGCAGCAACACAACAGAGCAGGCGCAAGGCAGCAGCAGCATCAGGTGCAACAGGAACAGCAGCATAAGCTACTGCAGCAGGAACAAAGGAGCGTGTGGGTAGAGGTAGTTGATGAATAAGAGTATATAAGAAGGACAATGGCGGGTGGTGTAGGAGGCGCTGGGGGCTTTAAAAAGCTCTTCAAGAAGATAAAGAGTCTGCTGCCTGCTAGCGACCACCCAGCAGCACAGCAACCGACCCCATACGGCTTGAACAGATATATATTGCTCGGGGTGTATGTAGTAAATGCTTTATTAACTTCCTGTGTATACTTTGGCTGGGGGCCTCTAAGCTCTATGTTATTTAGAGGGGGTATATATATTTGGTTGTGTACAACAGAAGAGCAGAGTGAAGCAACAATAACTAATCAGCCTGTGTGTGTTGCTCAAGATATAGGCGTTCAGCGTTTGTTTACAGTTTGTTATGCTGCACACTTTATCTTAAGTGCTCTAGCTGGAGCTCTAGTAGATGTAGCCGGCCCTAAGACAACAGCTTTACTAGGGCAGACATTAAGTATATGTGGCTGGCTATTCTTAGGTGCGAGCTCACAATCCTTTAGAGCAGTGATACCCGCGTTTATAATGATAGGTGCATCTTGCGACTTATGTTTCTTTCCGATCCTTTCTATATCGAACTTGTTCCCAGGGAGTGTAGGCTTCGCATTAACTTGTTTAAGTGCTGCTTCTTCTCTTAGTTTTGCTGTACCTCTTATGCTTCAAGCTGTACAGACAGCTGGAGTTAGCTTTAGTGGTGTATGCTGGGGTTATGCTGTCTTAGGACCTTTTTTTTGTCTCCTTCTTGTTTTTTTCTTCATCCCTCTTGATGGTTTTATTCAAGTTGATTTATTTGTTCTTGTCTCCCCACCGGAGGCTGCATTATCATCTGTTGCTGCTCCTGTTGCTGCTGCTTCTTCTCATGTTGCTGCTGCTAATGCTTGTGCAGCAGCCAGGGAGCAACAACAGCAGCACAGAGGAGATCTGTCTCCTTTCAGCAGCATCAGCAACAGCAGCAACAGCAGCAACAGCAGCAGACATAGAAGGTCGCCTATACATAATACTCTTAGCAGCGTAACAGATGAAGAATTCTTCAAGCCTTTCTATAGAGAGGCTTTCTCTTGTCTTTATTTTTGTGTTTGTCTTTACTTCGGTATATGCAGCATCGCAATAAATTATTATCAGCAAGCAGCATCTTATTTTCTGCTAGGCGATGCTCTACAGTTTCTAAATATAGCTGTCCCCTTATCTACTATTCCTTGTCTCTTCCTCGGCAGGCTGTACGTACACCCCATTTCAACCTAAACACTAACCTTTCATACACCCACAAACCCTAAACCCTAAACCCTAAACCCTAAACCCTAAACCCTAAACCCTAAACCCTAAACCCTGAACACTACATATGAATGTACAGATTTATGTGCATATTGGTTTATGTTTGTTTATTTGCGTTTGTCTTTGTGTTATTGTTGTTTATTGTTGTTTTTTTATTTGTTATGTTTGTTATTAATTTCATATTATTCTCCTTTATATAATTATTTATATTTATTTATAATTAATAGGTCTTATATATTAGTTTATATACGTTTATATTTGTTTATATTCATTCTTTATTTATTTATAATTACCCCTATTTATTTATTTGTTTGTATATTTTTGTTTACTTATATATAATCTTTTCTACTCAATAATAGCCGTACCTATATATATACATATATCTGTAAGTGCATATATATATATATATATATA